TCTTACTCTCCAAACAACAATTCCCCACACCTACTTTCTTATGCTCCAGTATACAACACACAACCATTCTACAATCCCCAACCTTCAATATAACCCACCTCAAGCAAATACAAATCCAAACCCACCGCGACCATATGCTCCAATTCAAACTACCACTCTCATCAAAACTGACCCACCTATTCACCCCGACCTCGCCCAAATTTTAAAGAGAGAGGTCCCAGAAACTACACCCTAATGGTGAACCTATGGTTCAATTGTTTGAAAGACTGAGGAGAGCAAGTTTGATACATCCGATAGAAGGAAGGGTTCCTGAGTATCCCTCAAAACACTTTGATGCAATCAAAAGGTGTGTCTACCACTCAAACATATCGGGGCATGATACTGAGGATTGCTTCAAGCTGAAAAATGAAATTGAGTCACTGATCAAAAGCGAAGCCATTCAGTGCACCCCAGCTCCGCCCAATGTGAACCGCAACCCGCTGCCAAACCATTGGAATCAAGGAGCTAATATGATCACCTTGGATGAAGAGTATGACTTGAAAGGAACCATTGTCACAATAGGGAACGTTGAGGCTGCAAGGGTCCGACCTTGAAGGACTCAATGATCACAGTACAGTTAAAATCTACAATGATGGTCCAGATTTACCAGCAACAGTCTACCGCTGCCATCAGTGATGAAGAGGATCGGGAATATAATACAGTCCCATGGACATATCAACATAAAGGGAAAGTAGTGATGATGGATTCCGTAGCAGCTCATGGAATGACCAGATCAGAGAGGTGTTAGGCTCTAGAAGATGTAAATTGAGGGAATCCAGGAAGGGAATAGATTCAGGGAAGGAGTATAACAGATTTGGAGGCCGTAGAATTCTGGAAGAAGGTATCAACCAAAGAAAACCCTCGCGCAAATATCAATCATGGATCTACTAATGAGTTTTTACAGTCATAAAGGCTCCATGATGGAGGTGTTAAGTGGGGTGAGCACGCCGAGCAACACCACTAGCGAGGCACTGGTGGCAACCATCGGGAAGATGGTCGAAGTAAATATGATCACTTTCCAAAGAGACGAACTTCTTATAGAGGGCGTAGGTTACAACAAAGCTTTACACATCACTGTCAAATATGGAGATAAGGTGGTGTCTCGAGTACTTATTGATGGAGGGTTAGGAGTCAAATATATGCGCTCTCTACCCTACGAGAGTTTGGTATCCATCTGAGAGAAGTAAAGGAAAGTCAGTGAGGGTAAGAGCTTTCGATGAGTCACAAAAAGATGTCATTGGAGAAATTTATTTGGCTCTGCAAATTGGACCTGTTGAGTTTCCCATACTATTCCAAGTGATGAATATTTCATCTTCATACAGCTTGTTTCTAGGAAGACCTTGGATATACATGGCATGGGCAGTCCCATCTACCCTACACCAATACATGAAGTTCGAGTGGGGTTGCCAAGAGATCGTAATCCATGGTGAGTGGAGCCAATCAGCTTATCTGGAACATATAGTTCAATTCATAGAAGGATTAGACGAGGTTGCTTTCCATGCAGTTGAGATCATCCAGACCGCATAAATAGAAGAGACCGAGAAAAATCTGGGAATAGAGTGACCGTATAGATCAAATATGGCCATGAGAGAAATGATGAAGTACGAATACAGGCCAGGAACCGGGCTGGGAGCCCGATCAGACGGGATAATAGAGCCGATTGAGCTGAGTCGGTAGAAAGGTAGATCTGGCATAGGGTATCAACCTTTGACTAGGAAGACGTGTACAGATAGCTTCGGGAAGAAAGCTTTGATTTCAGAACGTGTTTTGGGTACGGGTCAGAGCTCAACACCAGAGGACAACATCATCGATGAAATGGGAAGGTTGTTTGCGACCATGATCGAATGATGTGACAAAGTTTATATCAAGAGACCGACCATTCAGAATGTTGAACTAGGAGAGGACTTGCAGAATTGGACCACTAACCCGTCTTTGTTTCGCCGGGAGTCTTGGTAGTGTTGAATTGAAAAATTTTGAAAAAAATGCACAGTCAATTGAGGCTTGAACTGTGTCTGTACCGTTTTGTCATTTGCCTCTTTGAACGCTCAGACGTTCCTCTTTTGATGAAATAAAAAGAAGTGATTCTTAAAATTATTGCAAACTTATTTATTGCTTTATTTATACTCAGTTTTTCTTTTCAATAATCCAAACTATAAAAACTCGCATTTCGCGATTATGACATGTAACAAAATCCACGAGGAAAGTGATCCAGATTACGAAGAATACGATGAAACCATGATGCCAATTAATCTCCCGCAAGAGATCGAATAGCTAGAAAGCTAGAAAAAGCCTAACCATGAAGATGCAGAAGTGGTCAACTTGGGAAGCGAAGAAGACGTAAAAGAAACCTGAATTGGCATCCATCAGGAAGTAGAGAAGAAAGAAGAGTTGGTCGAGCTCCTCCAACAGTACATCAACGTATTTGCATGGCCGTATGACAACATGCCTGGGTTAAGCACTGATATTGTTTCGCATCGATTGCCTAACAATCCCGCTAGATCGCCAGTCAAACAAAAACCCAGAAATTTCAAACCGGATTTGAGTTTGAGGATAAAAGAAGAAGTAACCTAGTAAATATAGGTGAATGTAGTGGGGGTCACCAGTTATCCTATATGGTTGGCAAATATCGTCCCGGTACCAAAGAAGGATGGGAATATCGAGATGTGTGTGGATTATCGAGATCTTAAGAAGGCTAGACTGAAGGACGATTTCCATTTACATAATATTCATATCCTCATCAACAACTACGCGAAGCATGATCTGCAGTCATTCGTTGACTGTTTCATCGAGTATAATCAGATCTTGATGCACGGAGAAGATATAGAAAAGACAGCGTTCACTACGCCTGGGGAGTCTACTACTATAGAATCATGCCGTTCAGCCTCAAAAATGCTGGTGCTAATTACATGAGGGCCATGACAACCCTCTTTCATGACATAATTCACAAAGAGATCAAAGTATATGTGGATGAATTCATCATCAAGTCTCAAAAGAGTTCAGAACATTTGGATGACCTGGAGAAGTTTTTCGAACGCTTGTGGAGGTATAGTTTGAAGTTGAAGCCTACAAAGTGCGCATTCGGAGTCCCTATTGGAAAATTACTAGGATTCATCATAAGCATAAAAGGTATAGAACTGGATTCTTCAAAGATCAATGTCATTCAAGAGTTGCCACCGCCCAACAGCAAGAAGGATATCATGAGTTTTCTTGGTAGGCTGCATTATATCAGTCGTTTCATAGCCCAATCTACAGTAATTTGTGAACCCATCTTCAAGCTGCTGAAGAAGGATGCTGCTACAAAATGGACAGAAGAGTGTTAGAAAGCCTTCAACAGAAATAAGGAGTACTTATTGAATGACCTAATGTGTCTCTCGGCGCATGTTTAGCTGAGGTAGTCTAACTTGCACCAGCGATGGCAAAAAGGCGAAAACAACTAACAACGGTGAGTTCAATTGTAACTCCGGCGACCATAGGACTTCAAGCATTCACTATATTAACATTTGGTAGCTTCCTTCCTACTCGATTCCAACCAATTCGAGAGGAAATTGAAACAACTGCTGAGGAGGAATGTAACAGTGAAAAGCAATGGAACAGTACAGATCTAGCTGAGGAGAAGGAAAATCAGAAATGCAAGGGCCAAATGCCAACAATTCCACGAAGATTACAGTTCTCAGAGGCAGGATCTTCAGCGCAACCTTCCCCAAACCTAGAACAACATGCAACAATAACAAATGGAGGAAACAAACTGAAGCAACAAGCAAAGAAGCTTAGACATCAAAATCGCAATTCTCAGATGGGCATGAGACTGGACTATGTACCACCAAGTCATCGAGATGGTAAGATTGTTGTACAAATTGTAGAGGAAGATGTTCGAGAATTGAATGACCATTGGGCGACTGCCTTAATTGGTTATGTTCTAGGTGATACTCCATATGAGAAATCTATGGAGGCTTATATTTCTTCAGTTTAGGATTTGTTGTCGAAACCTCAAATTTTGTATCACAGTGATAGATACTATGTTTTTAGATTCTCAACAATTGAAGATAGGGATCTAGTAATGCAAGCAGGACCATACTCGTACCACAACAAACCATTCATACTGCAAAACTGGGAAATAGAGTTTCATTTTGACCCTAAATGCATTACAACTATTCCTTTGTGGGTACATTTCCCAAGCTTACCTGTTGGATATTGGACTGCAGATGTACTTAGCAAAGTGGCTAGTGCTATTGGAACCCCTATGTATACTGACAGATACACAACTGACCTTAACAAAATATCATATGCAAGGGTCTTAGTAAAGGTTGATATCACTAAGCCAATGCTGGAGAGTATGGAGATTGATACTCCATCAGGAACTATTCAGCAAGAAATTCTATATGAATGGAAGCCAAAGTTCTGCAGTGAATATATCCACTTTGGCCATGATAATTTTGAGTGTTGGAGAAATAAGCAGCAGAACAATGAAGAGGCTGAATTTAAAGCTCCAAAAAGAAGGAATAGAGTAGGAAAGAAGAAAATAGTACAGGAGTGGAAGCCAAAAGAACAGCAAGAGTAAGATAGTAAAGTAGATGGGAAAGGAGAAGAGAATCAGCAAGTAGAGGCAGGAAAGGGTAAACAAAAAGCAGTAGCTGAAGATGCTCCTACACAAGTGACCAGTAGAAATGAAGATTGCAGAATTCAACATAGCCATAGGGTTGCAGCAGTACTACAGTCTCAAAATGAAGAGGGCATCACTACAAATAGGTTCAAAATTTTGGAAGAGTGTGTGCCAAGCACTTCAAAAGTAGATGAGACTGGGATTGATCCTTCACTCAAACCCCCATGATTGTGTGCACTTGGAATATTAAAGGGCTGAACAAGCCCTATAAACAGAACTCTTTATGCAAAAGAATAAAATAGATATTCTTGGGTGTCTAGAAACTATAGTAAAAGAAAGAAAGGCAAAAAATATAGTAAACATGGTAGCTAAAGATTGGGGCTACTGTTACAACTACACTAAATCTATAAATGGAAGGATTTGGCTTTTATGGAAAACACATCTGACAGTTAAGGTACTCCAAATACATGAACAATTCATTCATTTCTTAGTGGAAGATGAAGCAACAAATTTCCAGATTATGTTGACAGCAGTATATGCTAGGAATAAGGTGCAGGAAAGGGCAAGTCTATGGCATGAATTACAGATACTAGGTGGTCAGATTCAAATACCATGGTTTATCAGTGGGAATTTCAACAATGTGTTAACCACTGATGACAGAATAGGACAACCAGTAACAACTAGTGAGGTGCAGGACTTCAAGCAGTATATTGATAACATGCAACTGACCCCACTAAGAACAAAGGGGTGCTTCTTCACCTGGTGCAACAAACATCATGCTAGTGATAGAGTATACAGTAAAATTGATTGGGCTTTTGGAAACATCAGTTGGACTCAGACATATGGACATCTAGAAGCAGATTTTTTGGAACCTGGAGTATCTGATCACTCCCCAATTGTAATTAAATTATGGAAGAGAAGAACTATCTACCCAAAGCCATTCAAGTTATACATGTTGACAATGGACCATAAAGACTTCAATCCTATGGTGAATAAAGTATGGGAACAACAGGAAAGGCATGATCCTATGGCACTCATATGGCTGAAGCTAAAAAGATTAAAAGATGAGGCTAAGGGTCTGCACAAGACTATGACAAGCTATGTATAGAGACTGATTCAAATAAGGCAGAGTTTGGAATGTGTTCAAGCAACTTTTGTCATTGATCCCTTTAATCAACTGTTGATTGAGCAGGAGAAGCAGAATATGAGTGATTTGGAGAAATGGAGTACAATAGAAGAAACAATCTTGAGGTAGAAATCTAGAGCAACATGGATTGATTATGGTGACTCCAACCCTAAATACTTCTATGCATAGCTGAAAATAAGGGCCAGCAAGAACAATATTACTTTAGTATACAATGACATGGAAATGAAGATCACTGATCCAAAGGCTGTAGAAAAGGAGTTTACTGATTTCTTTACACAGCTATGTGGGAAAGGCTAATGGATTAATGCCATGCCCTAATACTAGTATCATAAAAGCAGGCAACTACCTCACATTACAACATCAACAGGAACTGATAATGGATATAACTCATGAAGAGATTGATGAAGCAATTAGGGATATGCCAACGGATAAAGCCCCTGGAGTGGATGGTTTTCCTATAGAATTCTTCACTCTAAGTAATGGGAGACTGTGAAGTATGATATATATGAGGCAGTGTCATATTTCTTTCACACAGGGAGAATGATGCCAGCATGGAATTGTACTGCTATTACACTGATTCCTAAGGTCCCAGCTCCATCTAAAGTGAAAGATTATAGGCCTATAGCATGTTGTACTGCATTGTATAATGTTGTTGCTAAGATACTGACTAGATTAATAAAGAGAGTGATAGAGGTGATCATAGGGAAGTCACAGTCTGCATTCATTGAAGGAAGGAGCATCATTGATAACATCCTATTTAGCCATGAGCTATTTAAAGGCTATAATAGGAAAGGTTTATTACCCAGATGTATGTTAAAAGTGGACATTAGAAAGGCCTATGATGCATTGTATTGACAGTTCCTTAGGTGTATGCTAACTGACCTTGGGTTCCCTCAGAAGTTCATCCATTGGGTAATGGAATGTGTTTCTACTGTGTCCTACTCATTGGTGCTCAATGGTGGCCTTACCAAACCATTCCAGGCCAAGAGAGAGATTAGGCAAGGAGACCCCATGTCTCCCTACCTATTTGTCATTGCAATGGAGTACTTACAAAGAGAGATGAATCAGCTACCTGCCATAAAGTAATTCAAATATCATCCAAGATGCAAAAAGCTTTGAGTGACTCATATTTGTTTTGCTGACGACTTACTTATGTTTTGCAGGGCAGACATAAACTCAGTAACCAAAATGCAAGAAACCTTTCAAAGATTTTCTGCTGTATCTAGCCTTCAGGCAAATGCAGACAAAAGTTCCATGTACATTGTTGGAGTACACCAGGACATCAAAGCCTCATTGCTTAGCCTGACAGGATATACAGAGGGATCAATTCCTTTCAAGTACCTGGGAGTTCCCTTGTCTGCCAAGAAGTTAAACATTCACCAATGTTTGCAATTGGTGGAGAAGATCACTGAAAGAGTTAGTTGATGGTCAGTAAGGATGTTATCATATTCAGGAAGAGTGCAACTGATTAAGTTTGTGTTATTTGGCATACAGACTTATTGGGCTCAAATATTCATACTGCCTAAGAAGATTATGAAGATGATTGAAACAATTTGCAGAACATTCCTTTGGACTAGCTCAAGTGCTACAACGAGGAAAGCACTGATAGCTTGGGACAAAGTCTCTCAACCAAAAGCAGCTGGGGGATTAAACATTATCAATATGAGGCTATGGAATAAAGCAGCAATCCTGAAATAACTATGGGCAGTAACAAAGAAAAATGATGCATTATGGATCAAATGGACTCGTTGCTATTACATAAAACAGAGGAAAGTTGACACAATGGACACACCTAAGACAGCAGCTTGGGTGGTCAGGAAGATCATAGAAGCAAAGAAAGATTTGTTACAGGTGAGCACAATGCAGACCAGCCTTAATGCAGCATTAGCAGATATGGAGAAGCAAGCCAGATTTCAAATTCAGAGATCCTATATTAAGATGCTACCCCAATTTCCAAAGGTTGGCTGGAGGAGTATGCATATGCATCCACAGATTCATCCAAGGTTTAAGTTTCATTTATGGCTGGAAATTCATCAGAGGCTAGCTACTATGCATAGATTACAAAAGTTTGGGATTCAAGTACCACTGGAATGTGCCTTTTGTGCTAGGAGCATAGAAACATTTAGTCACCTATTTTTCGAGTGCTCATGTACCAACACAGTATGGGATAGAATATTCAAATGGCTAGGATTTACAAGGAGAGTAGGCAGCTGGCAGACTGAGATATAATGGATAAGCAACACAACTAAAAGGAAAACTGGAATGGCAGCTATAACTACTTCAGCTTTTGCCATGGTAGTTTACTGTATTTGGCGAGAAAGGAATTCCCTCAGATTCAACAAAGGCAGATATGAGGCAGATGGGATATGGAGAGAGATTGCCATACACATGCATGTTCAAGGAAGATCAAATAGCAAATGGCAACCAACTTTACAAGGATTGAACAAGAATCCATAGAATAGTTGTAATTTGCTTGAAAGTGTAATTAGTATAGCTAATTGTAAATGTAATTAGAAGACTGGTGGTCAGCATCAACCTGGTTTTGTAAAGACAGTGTTTGATGATATGGAAAGTCTATTTTAATCAAAAAAAAAAGAAAGAAATAAGGAGTACTTGTCAAATCCACCAGTGTTGGTTCCTCCCAAACCTGGGAAGCCACTATTGTTATACATGTCATCTTGGATAATGCGTTTGGATGCGTGACAACAAGATGAAACTAGAAGAAAAGAGCAGGCCATCTATTACTTAAGAAGAAGTCCACACCATGCGAGGCCAAATACACTTTGATAGAGCGCACTTGTTGTGCTTTGACTTGGATCGCTCAGAAATTGAGGCATTACATCTCAGCATACACCACACATTTAATATCTCGGCTCGACCCGCTCAAGTATATCTTTCAGAAGCTGGTGCCTATAGGAAAACTAGCCAGATGACAGATTCTTCTCAGCATATTTGACATTGTGTACATAATGCAGAAGTCCATCAAAGGGCAAGCCTTAGCCGACCACCTTGCAGAGAATCCAGAGGACAAGGATTATGAGTCGCTCACTACAAACTTCCTAGAATAGGAGGTGTTATTCACCGGAGAAGATATCATAGAGTCATACCCGGAGGTGGAGAATATTTTTCGGTGGAGCAGTAATTTTCAAATGAGTAGGAATTGGGGCAGCCCTAATTTTAGAATCAAGACAACAATATCCAGCATCAGCAAAGATAAGGTTCCCTTGCACCAATAATATGGCCGAGTATGAAGCATGCATCCTTGGGATTAGGATGGTGGTCGACATAAACATCAAAGAGCTTTTGGTCATAGGGGATTAGGATATATTGATACATCAAGTTCAAGGATAGTTGATTACCAAGAACGTCAAGATCCTTCCATACCTACACTGTTTAAATGAGCTATGCAAGAAATTCACAAAGATCGAGTTCAGGCACATTCCCATGATCCAAAACGAATTTGCCGATGCTCTCGCAACCTTGTCGTCCATGATCCAGCATCCATATAAGAATTGCATCGACCCTATCGAGATAGAGATCAGGGATCAACATGCGTACTCTTTTCATGTATATGAAAAGCTAGACGGTAAGCCATGGTACTAAAACATTAAAAGATTCCCTGAAATAAGAGAGTATTCAAAGATACTACTAATGGCCAGAAGTGAGCACTCAGAAGGCTGGAAAATCACATTTTCCTCTACGGGGAAGTCCTGTATAGGAGGACCCTAGACCTAGGTCTATTAAGATGTGTAGATGCCGCTAAAACACCCAGATTACTAGAAGAAATACATGCAGGAACATGCAAACCCCACATGAATGGCTTCACCTTAGCCAAAACAATTTTGAGAGTTGGATACTTTTGGATGACCATGAAAAGCGATAGTATTCATTATGTGCAGAAATATCACCAGTGCCAGGTCCACGAATATTTCATCCGGGTTCGACCTAATGAGTTAAATGTAATAGGTTCGCCTTGGTCGTTTTCCGCTTGGGGCATGGACGTGATTAGACCTATAGAGCCTGATGTATCAAATGGGCATCATTTTATCTTGGTAGCAATTGATTACTTCACTAAATGGGTCGAAGTTTCTACATACAAGGCCGTCACAAAGAAAGTAGTAGTGGACTTCGTCCGTAATTACATAGTTTTCCTGTTCGGGATACCCGAGTAAATCATCACTGACAATCCATCTAACCTCAACAGTGATCTCATGAGGGAAATTTGCTAGAAGTTCAGAATTGTCCACTATAACTCTACAGCCTATAGACCGCAAATGAATGGAGCAGTTGAAGTATCCAACAAAAACATCAAGAGGATTCTACGAAGGATAATAGACAATCATAGGCAATGGCACGAGAAATTACCTTCGCCTTATTAGGTTATCAGAACATGATGGTATATGGCATCGAAGTTGTGATATCCACAGAGGTCGAGATACCATCTTTAATAGTTATCCAAGAAGCCAAGTTAGATGATGCAGAATGGATACGGGTTAGGCAGGAGCAACTCATACTCATCGATGAGAAGAGAATGTATGCGGTATGCCATGGTCAGTTATGTCAAAATAGTATGGCCAATGCATTCAACAAAAGGGTGAAGCCTCGCCATTTCATACCGGGACAATTGGATATTCCCTCACAAAGAAGAAGCCAAAGGAAAGTTCGCACCGAATTGGTCAGGTCCTTACGTGGTCCACTGAGTGTTGTCGGGAGGAGCTATGATCTTGGTAGAGATGGACGGGAGAGTCAGCACGAAGGCAACCCACGGGGGATACGTAGGCAACCCATGTAGGGTTTGATTTTAGCTGTAACAGAACTACGCTCGACCTGACTTCCCGACGGGGGATATGTAGGCAACCCAGATAGGGTTCGGGTTTTCTCTCTCTCCCCTTCTTTTGTAATAGAAGAATCCAAATATCATTTTGTATGTACTCGGAACTACGCCATGACTAGATTTTCTTGGGAAGGAATACGTAGGCAATCCTCATCAGATTCAGTCATCTTTTGTAGCTGAACTACGTTCTGGCCTGATTCCATTTGGATACGTAGGCAGTCTAAGTCAGACTCGGCCACTTCATTTTCAATCTCATCATTTTGCATCTATTGTAATCGAACTACATTTTGACCTGATTCTATTTGGATACGTAGGCTGCCTGAGTCAGGCTCGGTCATCTTCATCATATTTTTCTTTATCATACCCACGAACTACGTTCAGACCTAATTTCGTTTCGGATACGTAGGCAACCTGAAAGGGTTCGGTCATAACCCTAGGAAAACCTTTGTAGTGCATTAGTTCAGATTAGAACGCAATCGTAGCGGCAAGAAGCCACATCTTCAGAAGCATCGCGGAGGATCTATATCAACAGGACAAAATCTTCAAGAAACAACCTTCGCGTTCAAGGAACTTCCGAAAGATGTCATAATCCGGAACGACGGGATTTGCCATAAAATAAAAGATTTTTCAAAATTCTTCCTAAAGATATCATAATCCGCTCCATCTACCAAACTTCATGGCACAACCTCATAATCCGCCACTTCGCCACATCGGAGATCAGAATAGCTACAAACCTTGTCACCAACGTTCTGTCGATCGATGGCTGCAATTCAGTTTCGTAGTCAAGAGTACCTCTTGGACATGCTCCTTTTCTTTATTTTTATCTCAAATGTTTTGATGTTTTGCTTATGCAACTTACAAGCATGATTACATTCTTTTTCAAAGTTAAAAACTCCCATCGGGCGGAGATACATTACATTTCATTTCAATCACTCCTATCACGCAGAGATACTTTACATTTCAATGCAACCTCTCCTAGCAAGCGAAGATGTATTCTACATTACAAGTCAACTACTCCCATCGCACGGAGATACTCCCAATATGAGGAGACATAATGCTCCGATAGCTGCGAAACGGTACACAACCTGGCTAACAATCGAGTCAGATTCAAGTATCCCATCATCCCAATCCCAAATAACGGCTAGCCATTAGCCAGGCATCATCATTCTTGCATCATTTATATCACATCTTAATATATTCTGCATTGTAATATATGGGTATGTGTGTATTTCATTTTTCAAGAAAAAACATTGCAACGTAAAACTCCATCTAAGCAGCAAACCAAACTACAACAGTACGGGGGATAACAAACTCATAAGCGGGCCAAGGATCCGAGCTCAAACTCAAAACGATCAGTGAAACTCTAATTCTTTAAATCTTTTAAATCAAGTCGCAATTCAAAGCTATTATGGGTACCAAGTCTTCCGTCTCGCAGTATCATCATAATACGATACTGGGGTAATTCCTACGAGCATCGCTTCCCCAAATCTTTACTCCAGAACTACATGAGTCATGATCTTCATTAAGCCCGAGGTATGTAAGCAATTCAAAGCCAAAATTCGGTCCCAACTCCCAAAAAATCTTCCTGGAATCTTTCTTAAGTCCTAATCCTACAACTCATAATCTTTCTTAAATCCATATGCCATTCCTGCAATGTATGCCTAAAAGTCGGGACAAAATTAGCCTTGGTTTAATTTCTTTGCCCGAAAACTCTTTTATCGTCTCCGGTCAAAGAGGGGCAGCTGTTGACGGACAATTTTGACCCTCCCTTTTAAATTTAAGTTATTTATACTTAATAATTTGCCATGAATGTTTTAAAAATAGTTTCAAGCAATAATGCCTATTTTACAAAATTAAACAAAGT